ACTCACTGTCCACACACACATTACATTCCCTTCTTTTATATACCAGCCTACCCTATATCTAGCAATTACTTGACATTCCTGAAAGAACAAGATAGTTCTAGAAACTAGAGGGCGCCACAGTGGTCATGTGACTCGCTGACGCAACAATATATACCAGCCTACCCTATCTAGTAAATACTAGAGCATTCGCCAAGGAACGGGATAGTTCTAGAAACTAGAGGGCGTGAAAATAGTCACGTGATCTCGATGACGCAACACTTCTATAACCATTTTGCACTGGGTCATAAGATGGGTACCTTCACTCCTAGCTAGCGGTGTTTTCAACCCAATAACACCTGATGAAGCTAGGCCTACTTAGCGATATTACTAAGCACCGAAGAAGAAGAATTGTCACATGTAAAGGTTCTTGTAACATGCCTATCATACTTGAAGAAGCATCAATATGTTATAGGCAACTACATATTTAAATAAATCCTTTAGTGGAGATTGCCGTTTCTTTTGTTTCCAGAGTAAGTCTAAATTGGCAATACTTAAAAAAGAAAAGAGGATTAAATATTCATTTCATAGTGATGATTTGATTTTGATTAATGTAAAAAGTTAAGGGGAAAAAAAAACAAGTGTAATTTCCTGTTGTCTTTTTAACTATATATTAGTATAGCTTCCAAAGTACATGAATTCGTTTATTTATGTCGTTTTTCTACAAATGATGAATATGAAAACAGGTTTGTTTGTTTTACTCTTTCTATAAATTGTGAAGAAATTCTGAAGTGTATTTGTTTTATTTTTTGCTTTCACGCAGAGATACTCGAGAGTTGTCTGTGCTAACCATTCTTACTTTTAAAATGATAGACTTAGAAGGAAGTTAATATCATTCATTGCTGATCTTTAGCCTTCTCTAATCGATTAATGGGATTAGTCATAACGTCATAACATCCATACGACTGAACGTGCAAGCATGTTAAGCCATGAAGATGTGGGATTCAAAACATCTATAAGCAGTTTGCGAATCGAGTGCCTTAACCACCAGACCATGTCAGACGTTCTGAAACCTAGGTCAAAAACTATAGGCCCTCGTATTACCGATTTATTTATACAGTGTTCACTACCGTTGGTGTAAATATATTGCATCGTATTGAGTAATTCTTTGTTACTGAACTCAAACTAAAGGCCCTCGATGACTCAGTGGTTAATCTGAGATGTTATAATGCTTAACAACAAACAAACAATCAATGTAAAGACTCTTCCTCCCTCCCCGGTGAGTCAGCACTAAGCTTACAGTATCACAACGCCAAAATCCGGGAGTAGATTCCATACGCTGGACAGAGAGCGCAGATAGCTTATTATTATGATTATTTAGAATACATAGGGACCCTAGCAATAAGTAGTGGAATAGTTTCCATATCGATGGTATATTTATTTACTGTTTGTTGCATGACTCATATTTTATTAGGGATCTGTAACCAACAAAATCACGTACCCACAAGCAGTATGTTGAAAAATAACTTAAAACCTGTTACGAATGGATGTTTGCCTCATCGGTACTTTTAGGGTTAAGAGTACCAAGTTTTCTCATATTATACATAGGCATGGGCATCCACAGGGAGGGGAGGGGGCACTTGCCTTTCTGGAAAATGAGAAACATAATTATTTCTATATTCATTCAACATAAGTATATGAATTTACAAACTATTTATTCGCTTCCCAATTTCACACTACTTATTACACTTAATTTTCATTCTGATAAAAGTTGTCAGGTTTGTCAGCAGCTTTACTTAAAATCTCTAGATACCTACCCTGTAGTTAAGTATAGAAAAACGTCGCTACCACGGCGGCTTCTTGGATATTGGACATGGCAATTCTCACTGAAGTCATCAAAGAGACTGACGCGGTCTTGTTGACATTCCCTGAGCCTTGACACAGTGTGACCGGGGTCAACCTGTTTCCACTTACTGATAATACCGGCAGTAGGTAACCAAAGAGACTGGCGCAGTCTTGCAGACATCCCATGAGACAGCCAACCAAAATTTACTGTTATGGGGTATATATAGCTGCAAGTCTGCAGTATGGTTTAAATTAACCGTACGAATATTAAACCCATCAAATCTGACTGTGGGAACTTACCTATTCTCTTGACTACAATGGCAAAACTTTGAAGGCAGGTCCATCCTCCCTTGATTTTGACTTTCCCCTCCTTGGAAAACTTTCTATGGACGCCAATGTATATAGGCTATATATCTAGAAGTTCTATTCTGAAGTTTATTATATGTAAAATATTATTTGTAACAATTGAACTATACTAATAACAAACGCATAGATTTAGCAGAGTAATTTTTTATAATTAATTATTTGATTTTAGAACACAGAAGCTGATGATCCCACGCTCATGGACAATTATTTGTTCTACTCTAATCAGATTCCTATGAGGCCCGATGGTAGGTGGTATTCTTCTGTTAAACTTTGCTACAAGGATGTAAACACACCATGCAAGGATGATGATTGATTTGATTTCTAAAATTACTTAATTTTACCACTCCCTACTTTTTCGTTTAAGGTAACTTAAGTTGTTTTTTATATCCATTAATCACAGCAATATATATATTGTTACGTATCTGCTTGTTTGATCATTTCTGGTGAAAATTCTTTCCGAGTGACTTCAGCGATACAAGTCCCTTCTTGATTAAAACTAGTTTATTCTTTCTCGTTACAAACTTTGTAATACACTTAGTTTCCACAGTCACTTTAAACTTAACAACCTTTATAACATACGGTATAAATCGCAATGATTTACACACTTTTCTTATGGTGTCTACTGTTCACTTGACTCTGTTATCTCTATCTTCCATCTATCTGCCTATCTCTGCAATTCTATCTTCTTTGCTGGCTTTATTGGGCTTATATAATAAAAAGAGAGTGCCTGGAACAAACTAGAGTTGCCAGGAAAATTCATGATCCTTCTAAAAACTCCAGCGCACATGCTCCCAGCGTCGCGTGACTCTGGCACATTTTCAGGCAACTCTTCGTAAGGTGGGCATTCTGTTATCAGGTCGACTGGCAATCGAAGTTCCCTACCAAACATCAGCTTTGCTGGAGTGTATCCAGTGGCTTCATGCTCTGCTGTTCTATAGGCCATCAACAGTTGAGGGAGTAAGACATCCCAGTCATTTTGGCAGGTATTACAAAACTTTGCTAATTCCTGTCCCAGTGTCCAATTGTACTTTTCTATCATCCTATCAGACTGTGGGCGAAGCAGTGTTGTCCTGGTCTTTCGTATGCCAAACAACTTGCACCATTCATGGAACACAGCTGATTCAAAGTTACGGCCTTGATCCAAATGCAGTTCGTATGGCATACTAAACCTGAAGAAGAAATCACTAATAGCCAAAGCTACGGTTGTAGCTTCGTGATTTGGTATTGCATATGCCTTAGGCCACTTGGTGAAATAATCCATCACCACAAAAATGTACTTGTTTCCAGCACGAGTTCGGAGCAATGGACCAGCAGTGTCAATGGCTACTCTTTCCATTGGTGCAGCAACTTGATATAACTTCATTGGAGCACATCCCTTATGCTTGGGACCCATTTTAGCACAATATGTACTGCAGGTCCTGCACCAGTCTTCCACATCTTGCCTCATACCTATCCAGTAAAATCTCTGCTGTAGGTGACTCAATATCTTCTTAACTCCAAGATGTCCTCCTGTTAAATTATCATGGGATTAACGCAACACAACTTCCCGTAACATTCTCGGTATAACTGTTTGCCGGGTCGTCACTTTCCCATATGCATTTTCCCATCTTTGGACAAGAATACCATCTTCAAGCTTCAATTAGTCCCATTGTGCCGAATAGTTCTTTGTCACAGGGCTTAAGCCAGACACCTTCTCCCAAGCAGGGCACTAAACACTTGCTTGTAGAAAATCAATTATTGGCTTCAAATCTTGGTCTTTCTCCTGTTCTGCTGTAATATCTATACCTGGTTCCACTTCACCATCATCAACTCCTTTAGTCACTTTGACTTCAGATTGATTACACCTGGTTAGTTCAACTTCTCTTTTTCAGCAATGTATGCAGTCATTTCTGCAGGATCTTCATCTGAGTTCGTCGGCATTTTCGTGAGATTTTTCCTTTTCTATATTCAATATCATAGTTATACTGGTCTATCTTTCCGATCCAACGTGCCAGTTCTCCCTCTGGTTTCTTTAATGATCTTAACCAGCGTAATGCAGCATGGTCTGTCCTGATGGTAAACCTGGCGCC